CTTTCCCCACATATTGCTTCATTGCAAGATGCTAATCGGGATATTTGTTTACCTATCTACCCACCTACATGTCTCTGTGAAACATTTATCTTTGAAGAGCAAAAATGACTAATTCTGCACACTGCCATTGGTGGAAAAGTCTTTTCCCCTTTTAGTCCGTTTGTCCCATCACACAAACTTTCCTACTTCGGAAGTAGCATTCCGTATTATTATTTAGAGTAATTTTAGGAAGGAAGCCAAATTCAATGTATGGAGAATTTCCAGAATGAGAATGATATGAAATTTGGGTGTCTTCAGATGAGAAACAAGCTACGTGTTATTGACTTTAAAAGTTGGAGATTGCTCTTCCGAAAATATGCAGTATCACTGTATGAGAAGATAAGGTGATTGCTGACCATGTAGGGGTAGCTGAAGCTGCCAAATGACATTTTCGTCCCCAGAAACATCTTGTTACAGAGGCAAAGTCCCTGGGAGGAGTAAAGTTCACTAATTTATCATGTCTAGCAAAATGTCTTGTTCAGAGAAGGTGCTCAGTTATTACTAAGTGAATCTGTTAGCACAGGTGGCAGGTAACACAGGTTGTCATCTTGGGACACATGAACATGGCAGTGGAGACATCATCACCTACCAGGCACAGTGCTGTGGGCTTTATGGATTCTGCCTGCCCTCATTTCCTAAGGCTAAGAAAGATGCCTTCCACTGGACTCTTACAGCACCTAGGGTCTACTCATCTCTCTGCCTGTCTCCCACAAAATGATGATGAGTTCTTTAGGGGAACTGTCTTTAATCTCCTTCACTCTGCCCCCAGTCCAGCACCTGGTACATACTGGGTGTTGATGAAGGAATGCCTGAAGGAATGAATAAATAAATGGATAAAATTCAGATTGGCTTGGGGTGGGAGAGGAGGTTGGGTATGGTCCCAGGAGCTGCTCCACTGAGGTTCTAGGGAGCCTTGGTGCTGAGGGTGATGGGGGAGGGGAAAATGGCTTGGAGAGCAAGGAGAAACTTTTCAAACATCATGACTTTGTCTTGCGTGTAAGTATATGGTTTTATTAAAACAATCTTTTCATGGCAAAGTGTTCATGTAGGGGGAAATGCTTTCTTCAATAGCTCATTGTCATCCACACCATGAGGCCCTCATTCTTAGTCTATGGTCTCCATCAGGTCTTCATTCCCACTCCCTATGCTGTGGCCAATTCTATCTGTCCCTTTTCCACTCCCCATCTTGTACAATAAGCTGCAGTGGAGCCCAAAGGCAGGCCTTTGGCGGACTTTGAACTCATAGTCCTGAGTTCAGGATCACCACTTACCACCTCTGAGTCCCACAATAGATTACTTTGTTTCTCTGAGTCTTAGTTTCCTCAGCTAATAAAATAATTCTTTGAGCCTTGGTTTTCTCCTCTTCAATTAAATCTACTTTTTGTGATCATTATGAAGACAGGTGATATAGAATATTTATAAGCCCACAGCATTGAACTCAGCAAGTTGGAGGCACCAGTGAATGCTGGTGTGCACTCATCCCTTCATCCCTTTCTTAGCCTAGAAGGTCACCCTCCTTTTCAGACTTACCTCCTATTTACTGATTCTTTAGAGCCCGGTTCAAAGATCACCTTCTCCACAAAATCTCTTCCCACACCCACCCAACTTCCATGGAAAGTAACCTTTCCTCCCCTGTAGTCTGTCATCTTCTGAACACTTGTGGTACTTACCACTTTCTTCCTGGTGTCTCAGTGATTGCTGTGTGTTATTTTTTCCCCCCGTCTGTAAGTTCTATGATCAAATCACCCACCCTTTACTCTTGTTTCCCCAAAGCACCTAGCAGAATAATTTGTACACAACAGGTGCTTAAAAACAATAAACTGAATATGTGTAGCACAATTCTCTATATTTAGAAATCATCTCTCAATTCTTTTTTGGATACGGGGTGGCATATATAAAGCATCTTCCATTGGGTCCACTTAGGGAAAACAACAACCACCAGCCAGACTTCATTACAAGTAGCTGACCTCACACAACATCCAGAGAATTTCCTGGAAACAGTTATAAATAAGGACTTGTCACAGGGGCAATCACAACAAATTCCTGCTCAAAAGCTAGTCACAATTCTAAAATTGTGCAAATGCTTAAATGGAAGAGATATTTCTCAAAGGCTAGCTAGTCCACTGTGACTGCCCCAAACACCTTTGTCTATATTATACTTCCTTAAACTGTACAACATGAAAGTGACATAAGTCACAGATATTAGTTTTGTTTTCCAGTGGGAGGGGAGAGGCTTTTTGAGAGTTTGAAGAGGCCAAGCCTGGCTTCTACCAGGTCTGAGGTTACCGAGCTGGCTTTGAGCCTTTTAGATGGAGTACCAGATTTAGGTTTAAGCCAGACGTGGCTTGTCATGGAGGCAGCTGTCAAAGGATGTGATTTTAGGTGGCTGGATGGAGAGCTGCTATTCCAGAATATTCTTTTTCTAGTACTTGAGAGGAATTGCTATATATTTAGAAGACTTTAAAATCTTTACAAGGTTCCTGTTCTTAGCCAGCATTTCCAGAAAGGTTCCACAGGAGGCTTCATATCAGAAAGTCTGGGAAACACTGCCTACTCCATCCCTCTTTACAATTTATTATATGCTGCAGTGCACAGCCGCATATTGAGAACTCTGAGAAGTCACATGATAAAGAGATCTATTTGGCCAGGCACAGTGGCTGTAATCCCAGCACTGAGGGAGGCTGAGGCGGGTAGATCATGAGGTCAAGAGTTTGAGACCAGCCTGACCAACATGGTGAAACCTCATCTCTACTAAAAATGCAAAAATTAGCTGGGCATGGTGGCATATGCCTTTAATCCCAGCTACTCAGGAGGCTGAGGCAGGAGAATTGCCTGAACCTGGGAGGTGGAGGTTGCAGTGAGCCAAGATCATGCCACTGTACTTCAGCCTGGGTGATAGAGTGAGACTTCGTCTCAAAAAAAAAAAAAAAAAAAAAAGGAAAAGAGACCTATTTAACTTAACTCAGAAACTCTCTTATTTATGGGATCAATCTTGCTTGTTTTTTTTCTTTTTTTTTTCCTGGTTGCAAAATTCCTAGTGTCATCATATGAAACCGGTATTTCATAGAACACACCTTTAAAATGCTGCCTTTGGAATTATTACCTATCACTGTAATGGGGATAAATTTTCAACTAAGAATGGGACACAAAGGGATATGTGTGAAGGGATGGGAAAATCAAGAGAAGAATGAAGTATGTTAAGGGTGACCATGGAGGGCCACCAAACACAATTTGACAGTTTTGCTCAGGGCCAGCCATAGTTCTCATTTCAGACATGATTTTGACTGTGTTTTCCTGCTTCCAAAGCCTAGTTGTTATCAAGTGACATAATCAGATTGGAAGTGGAATTTTTCATCTTCATCTGATCTTGAATTGTCTGGTGTAGGGAGGAAAAAAAAGGGAACACTTGGATAACATTTGCTCAGATGGATGTGAGAAGAGGAAGGAAAGAAGGGGATGGCAGGGAAACAGAAGGTACGTGGGAGGTAGGACATTAATGATAGACCGTAATGGACAGGATGGAGGAAAAAGAGAAAGTAACGGGCTTGACAGGTCAGGCGGATGCTAACAAACCCACCCCCGTAAGCCAAGAATAAAATAACAGCTGGGACAGGAGCCTTCCTTAAAGGTATAACCAGCTCTTTCTATTCCTTGGTAGCAGGTACTCATTCCTACATGTAGGGTTCTGCCGTTGGACCTCTTGCTACCCCTGGGTCTACATTTCCCCAAGCTGTTGGTAGGGCCCAGTCTGAGATCCTAGTAGTGGCCTGCTGTTTTAGAAAACATTACAGTTGTTAGTTTAGAGCACGGGGCTAGCAATAGAGAAGGGCCTAGGTGTTGTGCAAAAGCTAGAGTAGAGAGGGGCTGGGAAGGGGCTTCCTCTCACCCAGGGTTGTAAGATGTTCCACTTCTTGCATGCAAAGCAACTAGGAGATCTTTGACAAGCTAAGGCAGCTTAGAAATATTAGAAGCTGAAAGCAAGATATGCAACACATTTGGGAGTTTCTCTCTCACGCTGAAGAATAAAATGAACTGATTCCTCTACTAGGGTACTTTTCGATTTCTTGTCAGTATCCATGTAAAAGTCATGTAAAAACGTTAATGTTTTCATAACTTACAAATATTGTATATTATTCAAAAGGTCACAGCATGTATGGGATGAAATAGGGGATAAGGCAATAGGACAACTCCCTTAACAAGAATTCAAAATTTTCACATTCCTGTTCCATGGCGAACCTAAATCAGAAAAGAGATTCTTCCTGGGACAAGGCTGTGTTCTGGATGCCTGGAATTCATTGATAAATACATTTTAAATAAATCTCTACTCAGAGAAAATGGTTAAAATGATATGCCTATCCTCATGGTATGGGAACCCTCATGTAGACAATGCTACTGGCTGGAATGGTGGACCCAGCTTCTCAAAGTAAGGCTTTTATCTGATACATTAGGGACTGCAGGGCCTGAGGGCATGAGCCTAGAGTTCTCTGCATCAGAATCAGGTGTCTAGCTGGTTCTGGGTACAGAAGTTATGTCAGATCTTTCATTCCTTTGCCTAAATCAGAAAATCACCAGAACATACGTCCCCCTCTGAAATAAAGGACATATTAGAAAAGTGTTGGATGAATGTTTCTATATGTTTTGTGAGCATGTGGGGGAAAAGTACTGGCGCAGTAGGTGTTTGTGTTTACATTACTGACACCATTTCTCTGAGTGTATTATATAATTATGATGGTTTGAATTGTTTGAATGGAATAACATGATTACCCATGGTATTGCACGTCTCCAATTCCAAATAAACACAATGGCAAAAAACTAGACAAAAATGCAGAAAGAAGAGTAAGTCACACAATGTCACTGAAGTCATGCAGAGAGGGAAAAAAAAGAATAAAAAATGGGCAAGCAACAGACACCATAAATGAAAAAAAAAAAGCCAATGCATACAATTCTAAAATCATTCTTACCTTCTTCAGTCATTGTGTCATAATATTTTAGTTTTCCATATGATCCAAGTTCTACAACATCACAGTAAAAGACACAAAGATAAGGAACGAGCTATAATGCAAGAACTTTGCTTTTACACATTTTTAATTAATCAGATTCAGAGTTATACTGTCAAATTTTGCAATCGTAACTATATGGAGATGTGCAAACATGGGCCATGTGGCAGACAGCTTTCACGGCCCATTTTCTGAAATCACTTTAAATATATTATTCTACTGGGGATAGAGTGTGCCCTGCATTACAGAATAGGGCACCGTTATCTTAACATCCGATGAAACAGAGTACTTGGCAAAGATAACTTCACCCCACGTCTATTGTAACCCTGTAATTTTTATAGAGATGACACTCCAAGAGAAAGGGACTGAACAAGGACAACGTCTAGGCTCATGGGAGCTTGCAGACACTGCGATTCCTTGGCAGGGAACAGGAGTTCAAGATCATTTCACAGCTTTTCTCCAACAGAACCATTTCCTAGAGAAAAAGGAAGACTACCTAGGAAAACCTAACATGAAAAACCACGGTCTAAACTTCCCCTTCTCTTCTTATCTTGTGTTTTAGACAGACAATGCGGAGTGCTCTGGGAGGAAAAAGGAGGCATGTTCCCAGGGAAGACCACCAGTTCTGATAGGTGACAGGGCAGCCACAGCTCCGGGACCATGGCTTTGGCGGCTGGCAAGGCAAGAACCAGCAGCTCCTCCTCTGTGTACAGATCATCAATGAACCCCCCTGTAATGGAAACCCCTGGCAGAATGTGATCTGTTTTGAGTGAGCTGGTGGGAGTGGCAGCTGTAGTGAGGGAGAGAAGAGGTGGGGGTGCACCATTTCTTTTTTCTTACTTCAGTTTTAAAATAGCAACTTTTATCTTTGTTTGTCTGAAAATTCTAGATTATTTTAAGCAATTTTGTGAGCAGGTTAAAAATATTCTTTTCTGGTCATAACATCACTCTCCCAATAAATGTCAAGACATTAATTAGACTCAAGAGATATTCCTGTGATTCTGCAGAATGTTCCCATGGCCCATTAACTGGGCCGGCTGCTGGGAATCCTCATACGAATCAACTTAAAATTGATGGGTTTTGTGTGTAAGATGAAGCATCTAGCTTAAAATGCAATAATAAATATTCTTATATTTCACATTTAAATGATACATCATTTACACATTTTTCATGTGCCTAGATTTTTATCTAAAACTGTTTTAATACACCAGTACAAAATTATATCTTGAGGAGAAAAGTCACCACGTTTATGTTTCCACAAAGAGCTGTCTATTCTGGCTTTTGATGGACACATTACAAAAGATGCAGGTGCTTCAACAAGAAATTGAATTTTGTGTAAATAAAAAGAAATTTTTTTCATGACCTTTGGGGACTGCCATCAGTGAAATATATATATATATATACACACACACATGCATATATATATATACACACACACACACACATACATATATATGCATATATATATGTATATTCTGGTATTTTAAGAACAGTATTATATATTTGACATTGCACAAGTTTGGAATTCTTAAATGACCTAAATACCTTCATAAATATAAAACATATAAATATGAAACATATGTTCCTAGTGGCTTCACACATAATATATGTGTTTGCATGTGTGAGTAATCTTGCAGGAGACTGACAAATCATATCAGCCAACTAATTGTTTTCTGACCTTTCTTCCTTCCCTGGGGTAAGCAGTGGAATAGGCAGCTGGCATTCTCTACCATTTGCTCAGCAAACAGAATGTGGGTGGCTCTGTGTTTGCAAAGTTGGGTGTAAACTATATTCTACACAGTGACTGTACACCATTGCATTTTTATAGATCCATTTTTGTAGATGCAAACCTCTCTGTATGCACACACCTGTTTTTATGTGTCAATCCCAACTGTCAAACATCTGCTTGTGGCAGATGATATTATTCCTCACCTCGTCTCCTGCAGAATCAGGTATAAATACATTCACACTGTTTAATTATCGCTTTGTTTTTACATAGTTGGAATTGGAACTGTACATATTGGACAAAGCTCATACATTTTTGCCAATGTGGCAATGTCTAGATCACTTCTTAGCTGCTTCCTTGCATGATGAGTGGGACAGAGGGACAAGAACTAGGCAGAACATAATGAAAATGAGGCTAATGATGGTGGAATAAAATAAAGAAGAGTAGTGAAAACCTGAGTGACAGCAGGTGATGTGGCAACTCAAGGCACAGAGAGGCAGCAGAGGAAGGGAATGGTATCTGCCCACACAAAGGGAACCATGTTTGCAGCTTACTGAAGAAAAGTTAGAAAAGAAAGGAGATGGAAACCAGCCTGCTAGAATACAGTCTTTAACACTAACAGCAACAGGATGGTGAGATGGTGAACTCAGCAGCAGCATCCTAAGGAGGGTGGGGCAGCAACTCCAGAGCCAACTCTTCCCTGAAGCAGGGACTCGGGAGGCACAGGAAGAGGAAGGACATGCAACCAGACATGCAACCAGGAATGACATGCATGCATAAACCAGAGCCCATCATGCACCTGGCTGGGGTCCTACAGGCCATGATGCCTCCTGGAAAGTGGCCTCGGCAACTGTCTATTGATAGCCTGTGGCCAGACCTGGTCTCGCTGAGAAGGCTTGGGAGGCATAAATGAAAACTCACTTGCATAGGAACATGACTTGCAACCAGCACACTCCCGATAATGAATAACCAAGGCACCTTAAACATAACTGGATTAGGATTCAAACTGGGGCAAATCTAAGGTTAGTTTTGGGGCTAACAGGAGAGAAGAAGTAAGGGAGTTCAACAGCCTATTATTTAACATCATCTAGCACTGTTCGTTGTATCAGTGAAGCAAGAGGCAGCCAGAACTGGAAGAGCCATACATCACCTGTGAATGTCATTCTGGGTACCACCTGGAGCCTTTTCTCTCTAACATGTCTCTAAGAAGCCCACACAGATGGAGAAGAAATTCCAGAACCCTGTGGTCAGTGTTTCAGATGAGCCTGTAATCCCATGGTGAATGCTGCCCGTCACAGAATCACACTCGCCTTCATGCCACTGTGGTGGAGCCCATGTCACTGAGCTGTGATGATCCCATGACTAATTTCCTCCTTTATGTATATTACTACCAGTCTAGCTCTGTATCATACTAGCCAAAAGAGTGATTTTTTTTGTTTTGTTTTAAATTTCACTTGGGGGAGGAATGAAAGTTGCCCATGAGATGTAACAATTCCCAATTATCTCACAGGGACAGATCTCAATTATAGAAAATATGGTGGAAGTTCTGAAAGGTAGGTTACGATCACAGAGGGAGGTGCCAATATAATTACGTAGGAATTATCACCCTCGAACAGTGAACAATAATGTGCGATCATTACTGTGGATCATGCAGATGGTTCATAATGAAATGCCCAAGCGAGTCCCCAGATTCTGCAACTTCTTATAAATTCGCCAGCTAATTTTCAGCCTTGCTTCTTTGTGGTGTTGCTTAGCAATATCAGTGGTTACTGATTTCTGTCCTGTGAGGAGCTGACTCAGGCCATATTTCACCTTATTTTACATGCTCTGGATGATCAAGCAAGAAAAATGGGACCTAGATGTGCTGTTCTGCTGCTTTCCTTTTGATGTAAGCTAGGGAAGGGGAGAGTGCAGGATAGAATAGTCAGGTTTCCGAAAAGGATTTTCAAAGAAAAACAATAAGCAACCTAGACAAGAGAATCAACCCCAAACAATCTGCCTTTTATGAATATCTTTCTATTGTATAATTAAAAATCTCAATAATAATCTTAAGATAATTTTAAACATGACACGTTCTTAGAATATATATATATTTTTTCCTTTTTCACAAAGTCCAGGAAATAAGAGATGATAATAGCATGAGGGCTGCATGTATAGTTTGGAGCCTTACAGACCTTGACTTGACAACCGGGTCTGCCACTTGCTAGCCATGAGACTTGGGCAAATTACCTAATTTCTTTGAGATTTAGTTCTCACACTTACATAAATGAGAACAATACTAGTTGTCTTCTAAAACTGTGGTAAGAATTACAGGCACTTAACCTGTAACTGGCAGATAATATTCACTAAATATATGGTAAGTATTATTATGACTTTAATGCATCAGTTGGTTATCCTTCAAATTAATCAGGAAACTCCCATACACAGTACTCTTCTGATCTTCACAAATCAGAGTAAACTTGGTATCAAGAGACCTTATCGCTACAGTGCAGAACAAGGAGATCTTGTAGCACAGTGGAAATTTTGGAGTCAATAGATATGGGTTCTAATCCAGATTTTGCTTCTTATTAGCAGTGTGACTTTGTAGTAAGATAGCCTTTCAAAATCTTAGTTTCCTCATCTGTAAATGGGCTAATTCTAGTACCTCCCTCAATATGTTGTCGTAAGGAGCTTCATGCTATGCGTGGAACATTGGAAGTGCTCATATATATAGGACGCATATTCTATTACTGGGTCAAAGCTAGCAAGTGATGAGTTGCCCAGACTAAGATAATATGCCACAAGTGACCATCCAGGATTTGAACCTTGTTTCTAACATCCTTTTCACAAGTTTATATTGGAGAAGAAACAGGTAAAAAGAGAATGACAAAAATCATGACCAGTGATGTCATGCTAAAGGAGGTCTATGAATGTCATTTATATCCTTTTGTATAATCTAACATCAGGCACATTGAGATCTGATGTCAGCAACATTCGTATTATTTAAAGAATGTGCAACTCAGAGAAAGAGATAACATAACAATCATTAGGTTTTGGTTTTTGAAAGGAAAACTCAAAAGGGACTTTAGCTATTTAGGAAAGTGGTATTGTCCAGTGGTTAAAAGAGTGGGTTCTGGGGTTCAAGAATCTTGGCCTTGAACCCAGCTCTATCAGTTTCTATTGTGTGGTCTTGGGTAAATTATTTAGTTACTATAAACTTCAATGTTCTTATCTGCGATATAGTTATGATAAAAGTTCCTATCTTATAGGGTTGATGCAGAAAATAAATAAGTTAATCTGTAGAAAATGC